GCGTGCCTCCGCGCCGCCTTGGAGCAGCTGCCGCCCCTCGCCTCACCTGAAAAGCCGAGAGACGAGGGGGGAAGAAACCGGAGGGAAGCGAGCCGTGGGTGGGTGGTGGGTGGGTGGGTGGATGGGTGGGTGGTTTCGAGCTGTGGGGGGCCCGCCGGTGTGCTTTTCTTGAGCTTTCCGGTGGTGTTAGTTCAACTTTGAGCTTTTTGGTGGTGGGTTTAGATGGTCTCAGAGTCTGATGTGGACACATGGGAAAAATATCCATGATCAAGCTGGGGGCCAAACAGCACCCACATGGGGGGGCACGGGGGGGGGGTTCAGCAGATTTCCCCGTTTGTTCAGAGTCTGTTTGCCCCGCCTTGTTGCCTTGTGTGCAGAGGCACGTTGGGCTGCAACTTGCAGGGCCCGTGGCGCAATGGCAGCGCACCAATAGTTGGATAGGTCGTTGGTTCACTTAAATGGAACCCAACAACTGCAGTGTTCCTTCTCGCCTCGGATATTGGGGGGGGAGGGGTAGGTGGAACAGAAGGTTTGGGGTCCCGGCGGGGGAGTTGATCCATATTCCATTTAGGGCCACCAGTTTTGGTGTCTCAAAATAGGAACCCCCAAAATTGTTTCTTTTCTTTTGCCTTTGACGCCCACAAAAAGACACACCCAAAAAACTATGAGTAACTTTTTTCACATGTGGTTGGAATATCACGTTTTTTTAGTGGTTTTCCAAGCAACGGTCATCCCATGACGACCTTTTGCCGAAATGAATATTGTGTTGTTTTCCCATATTTTGGTTTTAAAGGGAGTCGATTTCACTACTGGACGTATTTCACTACGGGGGGCGTTTGGTTGTGGGGGTGGTGGTCTAAATGGGCCCGAGCGATGTCTTTGGTGGTAACAAAGCACTTTAGGACCTCCGGTATGGCTGACCTGCACTCGTGGAATCCTTTTAGGAACCACTTTTAGTCAATGCCAAAGGCTGGCTACTGTAAGGGCGAAAACAACTGGAATCCACATTTTTCGGTTCTCCAAGACCAAATTAAGTCAACATCAGAGAATCCACCTGTATGTTTCCTTCCAGTGAATGGTTGGTGGCAGGCGGCTTCCTGTGATACCGTGGGGATCGACTTCTGACACCCATCCTACCCTGCTCTCCCTGCCAACATCCCCAATTTCCCGGGCCTTGGAACTAGGAGTAACTAGGAGCATGCAGCGAACTCAGCATTGCGCGACTTTTTTTTTTTTTGGGGGGGGGGTAGGATTTCGGGCCTGTCGCGAGCATTGAGGTGGGTTTATGTGATAACCCATGTGTGTTTGGGTTCCGGGCATGCTCTCAGAGAAGCTACCTTCGCGTTTGACCCCTCAGGTCTGGTTTGGGACTCTGCCGAGTCCAGCCCCAAAAATTAGGTTTAGATTCGAAGAGTAGGAGAAGTGGCTGTGATCTTTTTTGCATATCCCACCGCCAAGGTGGACGGCATCCTAAATGTCCACCAAAGAGGCCCCTATTGAAACTCATACCCAACTCAGGACACCTGGGTCCTTAAAGGTTTGCTGGCGGGTCCGTCGGGGGAGCGAAGAAAAGGTGCAGGTGGTTTGTCACGTTCCATCTGCTTTCTCAGGCCCACTGCAGCGCAAAATCTCAGGCGGGAGTGGATCTCCGTGCCGTCAGCTTTGGATGAGCGAGAAACATTGTCTAGCAAGACTCTCCCCCGTCCTGTTCAAGGATCCAGGAACCCCTTTACCGAAATGGCGGGCGGAGAACTGTGAACAGCAAGAAGAAGTTTCCGTCCGAAGCATTCTTGGCAACTCCGGATGGCGCTTTTGTTTTGTATCATTCAGGTAGTAGCGATAGCAATAGATGCAAAAAACAAGAAAAACACATTTGGCGTGTTCCTCCAAACTTTTGGGTATCTTAATGCCAACTGGGCGCGTCCTCAACCAAAAGGTTGCCGTTTGAGGCCATGGGTCGAGTAGCTCAGCAGCTCCGCTCAATCTGACTGCCTGAAAACAAATCGGCTCCAGATATGTCCCAATTTTATTTTGTTCGCTTTTAGACATCCCCCCCTAGGTGCCAATGCAACTTTCCCCTAGGCTGGTGATGTTGGGAGGCTGGTACGGCACGCTTGCGGGATTCAATTCTTAAGGACCCTCCTCGTTCTGAATGCAAGGGTTGATCATACATGTTAAGAAGTTTTCGTCAAAGACCCAGTTGCCCAGTGGATTCCGCCCCTTTTTTCAACTGTTTTTTTTGGGAGGGTTTCCCTTGGATAACTCAACCAACCAAGAAAGGATGCCCTTTTTCCCAATGGCCACTGGGCATCTGAGAATGTTTCTTTTTGTCCTCCGCTCCCAAACGGAATCCAATAGTTGTTATGGGAAAACAGCTTGGCTGAAGAATAGACGGCACTGGTTTCAGCGCAACTTCTTTTTTTTCTCCACGGGACATCTACGGGAATCCTTCTTAGAAAGCAGATTCGCAATCCTTTGGGGGAGGGGGAGTTTAAGAGGAGAACCTGAAAGCACCGTGGGTGTGGCTTCGGTCCCAGGTTTGTTTGGTTGTTTTGGATTGTTTGTCCAAGGCAGGCTTAAACTCCGCAGTGGTTGATTTCCCCAATTGCAAGAGATTTCCCCAGTTGCAAGAGCACTCGCTTGGCATGTACCGAATCAGCAACTGGACTGGCATTGCGCTATCATCCCTTTGCTTTGGTCCGCCCAAAACACTTTTAACTCCCCAACGTGAGTTGCCGGATCCCAGGAATGCTCTTGCCCGTGGTCCCAAGGGAAGACAATTCCTGGGTTTAAGTCCTTCCTAGGCTGTTAAAGCCAAAAGGTAAAGCTTCGCGCGTTTTTTTTTTTGCGCAGCAACCACTTTTTCTGTTTCTGCCCAGAAAAAGTTCCTTCCACGGTCCCTGGGGTCCCTGGAAATCAAGAAGCAGATTGGGCCTCGGTTTGGTTCCAATTTTGACTTCCACAGAATTAGCTCCCCTTTTTGCTTTTTTGCTTTTTTGGGGTCCCTTTGTTTTCCACGTTATTTTTTTTGCAGGGGTCCTAGTTCCAGGCAAGTTGAGAGCTCGAAAACGGCCCAGGTATCACTACTCTATCGAGTCCTTAACCAACAGCTCCACCTCGCTCACGCGCCTCGGCACTCCGCGCCTGCGCGCTGGCGGCTTTGTCTCCGCGCTTGGGGAAAGCCGGGGTTCTCGAAAAATAGCTTCTGCTTTGATATACATGTTCCTTTCTTTGCTACTCTTATTATTATTATTATTTTAGACTAAATATCTGCCACACTTCTAAAAGGACATTTTGGGATAATTTTTATATTGTGATTTGGTGAGAAACCTCTTGACCCCAGTAAGCTTTCACAGCAATGGACCGAATAAGGCGAAGTGCCTGAGGTTTGTTGGCTTTTCTCGAAGAGAAGACAGATCCACATGTGGAGATTCGGATCAGATGCGAAGGTCTATTCTGGATCTGCGGCTGCATATCTGCAGTGGTTTCAACAAGGGCTTCTTGGTGATGGGCTGAAGCAGGTGGGCATGATGGACAGCCCCGTGCTTTGTGTCCTTTGCTTGAACCTGTTCATCGCAAATATTTGACGCAACCCGTTCCACTTCTGCACTTCTGGGAGGGCTACCAAGCTCAGGGTTTCAACCAACATCCTCGTGACATGTTTCATTCATACAGTCGGAAGTGTGTACGGTGGCGGCAACACATTTCCACGCGGATTTTTGTGCTGCCACGTCCGTTGGAATTTTTCCGTTACCACTCTTGCAGATTCCGGATGATCCCAAGCTTTATTAATGACAAAGTCGGCATGCATGAGGGCTGTGTTCAGACTGGGTGGCAGCACCATGAATCGCATCATGAGTAATCAGCATGGAATCCGCGGCCGTCTAGGCCTAAGCCAGATTGGTATACGCATCAGGAAAACCGCGTGCGCTTTCGCTTTGCCATCTCCTGCGGATTTGGCATTGACAGTGGCACCGGAGCCTGGCCCTTGCAGGATTCGCTACGCTACGTGAACTCCGCTCCGCTTTATCGCAAAGCACTCTGTTTCATCCTCGAGACCTTTTTGGTACTGGCTGCGCTGGTACATCTGGGAAACGAGGGACATCCTCTTGATTGCCTTTCTTGACCTCACCTGCGGTTTGGTGCAGCCTTGGCATTAGCTTGGGGATACAATTTTATATCCTTGGATCTCTTGATTGGGTCAACCTGCGGTTGGCGGTCGAGGGGGCCCGAGGTCTCTTTTACCCGCATACAGTTTTTACTGCCTTAGGCATTTGCATCGCACCGGAATTTGATTTTTACAGCTTGCGCCGCACCGCTCACGCGGACGTCAACACGATGACCGAGGAGGACAAAAGCGCGAGCTCCTGGTACAAGGTGCCAACCTGGAATGGAAACCCAGCTGATTGGCGGATTTTCCGCCGCGAAATGAAATGGTGGATGGCCTCTCTGGATCCGGAAGCTTGCAAGAAGTTCAACGTGGCCGCGCGCTGGGCTTTGAGGCAATCCGGAATGGTCAGGGCCAGATGCGAGGAGTTTGATCCTGACGAGCTCAAAGGCACTGAGGAAGTCGCCACCGTGAGCGATGAAGGTGTACGGACTGTGACAACCCCTGCAGACCCTTTTTCGGGAATCAACAAGTTGCTGACTGCCTTGGAGGAGACAATTGGCAAAACTGAGCTTGATCGCAAGGGTGAGCTGAGGGCGCAGTTCTATCAGGACATTCGCAGAAGCCCCGGAGAGAGGATAAGCACCTTCTGCACTAGGTTCCGGACCCTGGCAGCAGATTTGAAACGTGAAGGAGTTGATCTGCCGAAGGAGGAATTGGGCTGGTTCCTCAAGGAACGCATGGGTTTGGATGCGCTTCGGAAGCAGCTGTTGGATACCGCATTGGCGGGTCGGGAAAGCTACGATGACGTGGAGACTGAGTCGCTAAGACTTTTCAGAGATTTGCATGCGGCAGATCCTTTGTTCAAGCATCGCCCTGGACAGGATCGACCGCCGCTGTTCAGCAGGTTTTTGGCGCAGTCTCAGTCTTCGTCCTCGCAGCGGACCTCAGTGCCTTCCAGCAGCAGTTCTGTACCAAGCTCTGCATCCAGGTTTAGACCCCCTTCGTCTTATTCTTCCAGGCCCCCGTTTCGCAAGCCGATGCAGCCGAACAGACAGGCTTTGGTGACAGAAGCTCCTGCTGAGGAAGAGACGCAGCAAGATGAGGATGAGCTGATCCCTGATGAAGGTCAAGCTGATCCAAGCTCTCTTGAAGACGTGCTGCGATCTGAGGTTGAAGTGCTTGCAGCAGAGCTTCAGGAGCTGGAGGAGGAAGGTGTAGATCATGGTTTGATGGAGGAACTGGAATCCGGAGTTGAGCAGGCAGCTGAGAGCTTGCTCACCATGCGGGAGGCGCGTCAACGCATAGCAGAAGTCCGAAAGGACCGTGGATTCGGCAAGGTTTCCCCCACTGGTGGCAAAGGGCCTGGAAAGGCCAAAGGTGGTGACAAGAAGGCGGCTAGCAACTGTTGGGACTGCGGAGAACAGGGGCATTGGCAGGGCGACGCTCAGTGTAAGAAGCCGGGGCAACAGTTAGCCCGACCGAAGGGTGGTGGCAAGCGTGCTCCAGCAAAGCAGGTACGTGTGACTGAGACGTACAACACTGAGATTGAGCCGGCTGATGTGCCTGACGGTCACGAGGTCATGGTGGCTCCGAGCTCTGACGATGTGCTCATTGGCAACAGACAAAATGCTGGTGGGCGCACTTGACAGCGCGTGTAACCGTACTTGCAGTGGAAACGTGTGGCTGGGACATTATTTGAAACACCTTGAACGGGCACCCCCTGAGATCAGACAGCTCATCAAGTCCGAGCCGGAGGATGAACTTTTTCGGTTTGGGAATGGTGGAACGCAACGCAGCCGTTCGCGCATTCGTGTTCCTATTATGGTGGGCAACAGTTTGGTCTGTGTCTGGATATCAGTGGTGCAGGTTCCCAGCTTAGGTTTGCTTTTGGGACGAGACTTCTTGGATGGTATTGGAACAGTTTTGAATTTCAGTCGGAAGCTGATGCGTGCAGAGTATTTGGACGGGCAGTCGATTCAGCTACGTCAGCTCTCTGCAGGCCACTTCGCACTGCGATTGCCCCCGGCCCACTGGCCGGCACCAGGCCCGGAGCGGTGGCGACGTGTTGGGCAGGATGGAGTGGTTGAGCTTCAGTGTTCGGGTAAGGACTGGATTCAACGCAAGCTTCAAGGGTGTTCATCAAGACGAACTGGAACCCCCGCCTCTCACGAACATTTTGTGACTGAGCTTGGTGTGCAAGCTGCGGATGTTTCAAATTCTGGGTTGTCGTGTGACAGCAAAGCCGACGTTGCTGTTGCTTCTCAAGGGATGTCAAAGCCGACAGCTTCTGCTTCGGCGCAGCCATCTCTGGTTGGTTCGTCGACCGCATCAACGGCAAGGTCACGAGCTCTACATGCTGGAGGTGAACCAATTCGCGAAGGGCACCATCGTCAAATGGAGCCGCTTTGTAAGCCGCCTCCGAAGCCGCGCACTATGGCACGTTCATGGTATGCTCTTATGGTTGCTGCAGCGACCGGCGCTGCGGTACGTTCCCTTTCCCTACCCGAGCGTGGGAACGGTTTCTCAATGGAAGATGCAAGCCGAGCAGATGGTTTCGCTTCGATGCCTACCACAACGGCACGTAGATCGAGCTCTACGCCATGGGAGCTTCACGATGAAGAACTTGGCCGACGCGACCTGGCTTCGAAACCGGCTGGGCATCAAGCACAGCTTCATGGAGAACCCGCTCTTGGAAGGAATGCTGGCAGCAAGAGCCAGCAAGGGACTTGCGTCAAAGATGAAGCGAGAAGCCATGGCAGAGGCGCAGAAGCAGGCGGACCTGGAAATCGCCGAGGGCAAACAGGAAGAGGCTGCAAGAGCTCTACTTGGTCCTCGCGGTGGTCTTCCTTCACTTCGAGCAGACCTTCTTCGTCTGGCCGCCTTGCTCAGGGTGCCCATCCCGGAGAAGGCGACGGTCGAGCAGATCAAGCAGGCGTGCAGACCAATGGTGGGCGCTCTGATGACCAAGACCAGCAACAAGGCTACATGCAGCACACCCACAACGGCGGTGGCAAAGGAAACCAACCTTGCACCGCCCATCAAGCCAGGCAAAGAGTGCGAGGCCGATTCTCCCGCATCATCGGCGTACTCCGTGGTGACTTCGTCAATGGGAGTGAACCGCGACGACCTGGAAAAGATGATGTTGCAGCAAGATCCAAGTCATGGCTCATCTGATGTCTATGACAAGCCAGCAAGTAGATCCTCGACCTCTTTGGCACGATATGGCGGCGGGAGACGACAATGGGAGTCAGGTGATGGAGGTGGAACCGCCATTGGATCTTGTGGATCTTACGGGAAAGTGAGCTCCAATCCTCCTGGACTACAATCAGGCAAGCCTCACGCATCACGAGCACGTGATCAGCAAGAAGTGTCAGCAAGAGACAGACATGAGCCTCACATACCACCATCACCAGATCCTCATGTTCTACAAGCCCCCAACCCTTGGACCTTGCATCAGCAGGTCAAGCATGGCCAAGCGCAGTTGATTGCGGCAGCGTGGGCCAAACACGAGAAGGACAGAAAGCTGATCTCACAAGGTCACAGGGAGATCATGGAGGTCATGCATCAAGAATGGAATGGACGATTCCAGGACTTCATGAACGAGACCTTCGTTTCGGCAGTGGACTTTCCCAAGACCTTTGTCACGGAAGTGTACACCACGACCAAGCCCATCCTTCGAGAAGCAGCTCGGCGTGGACATCGGGTTGGATCAGCACTTTCCTTGGAGACTGGATGGGCTCTGGACCGCCGGGCAGCTCGGAAGCTGATCGACCAGGAGAAGCCCTACTTCTTGGCCATTGCCTTTCCTTGTGGACCATGGAGTCCTTTGATGAGGTTGAACCCGGCGGCGGACTTGGCACAGAAGCAAGCTGAAGGTTTGGTCCTCATCAGATTCGCTATCCAACTGGCCAAGGACCAACTCCTTGCGGGCAGACACTATCTCTTGGAGAACCCCCTCACGAGCAAGGCTTGGACTTTGCCTGAGATGGTCAAGTTCCTGGAGGAGAAGGAGGCCGAGCTTGCGGACTTTCACCAGTGCCGCTTCGGGCTGAAGAATGACAAGGGCGAGCCCCATCGCAAGGCGACGCGGGTGGCAACAAGCAGTCCTCAAGTACGGGAACAACTACACGCTCGTCGGTGTCTTCGGGATCATCAACATGCACCCGTTCTTGGAGGAGCTAAGGTGACAGTGCCAGCTGGGCACTATCCGGCCCCCTTGGCACGCGCCATGGTGAAGGGCATGGAGGAGCAGTTTGAGGTGGATTTCAAGGCCTACCCACATGAGGCTTTGGCCGTGGACGGTGAAGTTGAGGAGGAAGAACAACCAGAAGTTCCAGCATTGACCAACTACGGCAGCGACTCAGAGGAGGAAGAGATCAAGGTGGAGAACCCGAAAGTGCCTGCGGGAATTGTGCAGGCAGTGCGGCGACTACATGAGAACACAGGTCACCGCAGCAACCGGAGACTGGCAAGAGCACTGATCATCAGTGGTGCTCCTGCGGAAGCTGTCTTGGCGGCGAAGCATCTGAAGTGCGCGATCTGTGATGAGCAGAAACGACCCAAAGTGCAACGCCCCGCTTCCTTGCCAGTTCCCAAGGACATCAGCGACCAAGTTCACCTCGACATCTTTGAAGCTGAGGATGCATTGGGCCGCCATCACTACGTGATCCATGCGGTGGACTTTGCGTCTAGGTTCCAGATGGCGGAGGTGATAGCTCACAAGAGTTCGGAGGCGGTGGTCAAATGGTTCACTTCGCGGTGGCAGCCGATCTTTGGACCGCCCCGAGTGATAGTCGCTGATCAAGGGCGTGAATTCGTGAGCTACACGTTTGAGGAGATGTGCGCCCGGTCTTCAACCCTTTTGTGGCACGCAGCAGTGCAGGCCCCCTGGCAGAATGGAGTTTGTGAACGAGCTGGAGGAGTACTGAAGGGTCTTCTTCATGCGCTGGTAAAGGCGCATTCGATCGTCAATGCGGAGGACCTGAACGTGGCTCTTCAAGAGGCAGTTACTGCCTACAACAACGACATTAATGAGATGGGCGTCAGCCCCTGCCAGGCAGCACTTGGGAGGCAGCCACGGATGATTGGAGACACACTTGGAGATTTTGGTCAACGTCTGGCGGAGCACGGATTGATCGATGATGGCCTCAGGCCTAGCTTGATGAGACAGATGGCATTGAGGGAGACCGCGAAGGTGGCTATGACGCGGCTTCACTTCAGTAGAGGCCTTCGGCGAGCAGAACTGGCCCGATCCCGATCTACTACAACCACGCATGCGCAAGCTCTCGAGCCCGGCATGATCGTCTACTTCTACCGCCAGACCAAGTACAACAACAAGACGTCACCTTCAAAGAAGAGACTGAGTTTGAGGAGGTGGCATGGACCAGCACTTTTGGTGGCCAAGGAGGGCCACACCAGCGCTTTCGTCAGCTTCAAAGGGCAACTTACAAAGTGCGCGGTGGAGCACTTGCGCCCGGCCACTACCTTGGAGCAGATCTCGGCTGAGACCTGGAGAGACGCCATTGAGGATGTGGTGGAAGCAGCAATCCAGGATATGACCCGCCGAGGAGCCGAGCAACATGGAGAGCAATTCGCAGATGGCCGACCTCAAGCACTACAACCTGAAGCTACGACTAAGCCTATGGAAAGGGAACCCCAGGAAGGAGTTGGTGAAGTACCGACCGCGAGTTCGGCGACCGGAGCTGGAGATCTACGGCATCCCGGTGGCCTTCCTGGACCCTCTGATGGACCTGCAGGTGATCTGCCTCCTGTTCGTCCTCAAGAGTTTGCAAATGCTGTGCGTCGTGGAAGTTCAAGGCAGTCGACTCCGATGACTTCGAGACTGTCGACCCCTTTGGTGGCTTCCAGAAGGACGAGTACGGCAACTGAGCCGCATCATGGAGCTGCGGCACCTGGAACACCGGTTCCTGAGCTGATCCTTAATGCCAGCCAGCTTGGGGAGAGAATGGGTGGGATCCTTGAGCGAGCCCGGGAGATGGAGTTAGACGACCCTCAGCAGCGTAAACGAGCAGCTGATGTAGAAACCGGTCTGCTTCGTGATCTTTCCCGTCTACCTGAGCCTTCGAGCGGTACTACCGGAAGTGGAGAGCCTTCAATGGACGTTGGAGAAGTACCGGTGCGTGAAGTAGATGAGTTGGTGAATTTACCACATCCTGACCATCCCCTACGGCAACTTCATGATCTGAGCATTCGTGATCGCCTCGATCCTGAAAGTGGAGAAGTGCGTGATCATGGGACTTGGAGAGGTGATTGGCCTATGCCCTCGCGGACCTACATCCAAGCCATGAAGCAAGCAGGCGAAATGTGGCCTTGCGGTGATCATGATGTCTGTGCCGTGCAGACTGCGAGAAAGGAGTACATGTGGCGAAGCATCGCCTCGCAAGATCGACCAGCTTTTCAAGAAGCAGCAAAGACTGGTTGGATGGTTTGGGCAGACAATGACGCGGTGGAGGTTCTGTCCCCGGATGAGGCAGCTGAGACCTTCAAGCGGTTGCGCGCCAACAACGAGATGCACAAAGTGCTGACCCCGCGGTACGTCTTCACGGACAAGCATGATGGTTTGCGAACCCCTTCGCAACCCTTGCCTTTGAAAGCAAATGCGAGGCTGGTGGTGCCAGGATTTCGGGACCCCACTGCCTACGCGGTGAGGAAGGATGCCCCAACGGCATCACGGACTGCATGTCATTTGGTCCTCATCATTACGGCTTCGATGCAGTGGGACTTGTGGAGTGCGGACATCAAGAGCGCATTCTTGAAGGGTGAGCTTTTCAAGCCCAACGAGCGGGAGCTGTACATCGGCCAGATCAAGACGATGTCAGAGGATGAGCCGAAGCTTCCACTTGGCGGAGGAGGACTAGCGAAACTGAAGAAGGGAATCTTTGGACTCTCTGATTCTCCGAGAAGGTGGTATCTTCGCTTGAACAAGTCGTTGACGAAGCTGGGCTGGCGGAGATCTGCATTGGATGCAGCTACGTGGTACCTTTGGACGGAGGACTCCAAGACCTTGCTTGGAATCGTCATTGCCCATGTGGATGATCTTCTCATGGGAGGAGGCAAACGCGCAAAAGCTCTACTTGATCAACTTGGAGAGGAGCTAGGGTTTGGTTCTCTTGAGCATAACCGCTTCACCTACTGCGGGAAGTTCATCGAGAAGAAGTCTGATGGGAACATCTATATCAGCATGCGGGAGTACCACGAGAACTTGAAGCCGGTAGCCATACCGCTTGCTCGACGACGAGTACCTGATGCTGCGCTAACCCCTGCCGAAATCAAGCAGTTGCGTGCACTGGTTGGAAGCATGCAATGGTTGGTGGCGAACTGCCGGTTCGACATGGGATTTATGCTGTCAGCGTTGCAAGGCGAGAAGCGCGTCGTGGCGACCTTGATGAAGGCGAACCAGTTGGCCAAGCGCTTCAAGGAGCACGTGGATTTTGCATTGTGCTTCAAGCCGATCAACCTTGACGGATGCGGCCTGATGGTTGTGTCTGACGCAAGCCTTGGCAATGTGAACCAAGATGGTGGTTCTGATGGTGAACCCCTCACGAAGCTCTTCAGCCAGGCGGCCTACTTCGTGTTGCTGGCGAGCAAGGAGCTGATGAACGGCAAGAAGGGTCGATTTGCGATCTTGGATGCCCGGAGTCACAGGTTGCCAAGGGTCTGCAGATCTACGTTTGCTGCAGAGTTGCTGGGCGTTGAGGAGGCCATGGATGTTGGGCATTACCACAGAGGTTTTGTGGCAGAGCTCAACGGGCTTCGCATGGATAGCAGGGCAGTTGATGTCTCATTGGAGACGGTGCCGCTCACAGTTGTCACGGACGCGAAGGATGTCTACGACAAGAACACAAGTGACACGCCTTCGTATGGGTCGCAGAAGTCCCTGGCCTTCACTGTGGCGTGGCTTCGCAGCATGTTGAGGAGGCCGCAGACAACTTTGAGATGGACAAGCACAGAAAACATGTTTGTGGATGCCGGCACCAAGGACATGGAGTTGGATAATCTGCATACAGTGCTGCGTTCATGTGAGTGGTGTGTGACATACCGCCCGGACTTCGTGCGGCAGACAGTCAAGAAGCAACCGAAGCAAGTACAGAAACCTGCCGCTGGATCTTTGTGTGTGGGCAAACCTGTGGACTTGAGTGATGAGATCTTCAGCAGACTGCTTGTTCTGAGTGAGCAGCCCGGATGGCATCACCAAGATGGCGTGGGCATTCACGTGGCAAGGTATGCGAAGTCATATCGGCTGCCCAAGCCGCGCTTCAACCCCGTGGAGTACTGCATTCGAAGCAGCTTCGGAAGGTTTGACTGCAACCAGAGGTCTGAGTGGCGGGAATTGGAACGAAATGTGGACATATCATCGTTAGCCAATGCA